AATTTATTGATTAAAAAGGATAAAAATATTATTTAGTTAACTTTTTTTTTACTTTATTGAGATGTATTTTACATACCATACAATTCACTCATGTAAAGTGTACAGTTCAATGGTTTTTGGTAATCTTCACAGATGTGTGCAACCATCATCACAGTCAATTTTATAACATTTTCATCACTTCCAAAAGAAACCCCATGCCTTTTTTCACCTTCCTCACCTCCTCACTCCCCCAAGCAGCCCACTAATCTACTTTCTGTGTGTTCTGGACTTTAATATGAATGGTGTCATATGGTAAGTGGTCTTTTGTGACTGGCTTCTTTCTCTTAGCTCGATGTTTTCAAAGTTCATGCATGTTGTAGCCTGTGTCACTGCTTCATTCCTTTTGTGGTGGAATGATATTCCAGTACATGACTATATCACATTTTGTTTATCAGTTTGTTAGTGGATTGACATTTGGTTGTTTCCACCTTTTGGCTATTACGAACACTTGTGTACAGATTTCTTTGTCTTTACTTAACTCTTAAGTGTTAATTAAGCTGATGAATAAATTAGCTGGAAATAAGCTTGTCACAGATGAGTAAATACCTTCTTTTAAAAAATCTAGCTATTTGGGTATGGGTTTCTTTTTTAGAGCAACAATAGTGTTGTAAAATTGATTGTTTTGATGGTTGTACTACTTTGTAAATGTCTTAAAAATTATTGCATTGTACACTTTAAATGAGCAAACTGTGTGGTGTGTGAATTGTATCTCAATAAAATTTTTGTAAAAAAGGAATAGTCTAAAAATTAGAGCAGAAGGAAAAAAAACCTAACCATTGATAATCAGAATTTTTATAAGCAGTTGTAGTATACTTGAGAGAAAATTGCATTTTAAAACTGCTTGTTATGATAGCTTTTAACTCTGTTACTTCTGTATTAAAGACTTGACTTATTATTAATTTTTTTATTAGAAAGTTACTCTATGCTCATTATTGCACTTCCCTAGATAATTTGCTGTGAACAGTTTGCTGTATATGCCTTCAGATTCCTTTTGGATAAGTAGGCAACCTTTTTTTTTAGTGAAAATGAAATCTTACTATGTATACTGTTTTGCACCTTGCTTTTTTTTAAAAAAAAAAAAACCTTATAGAAATGTATTTTATATATCGTAAAATCTGCCCATTTTAAGTGTACAATTTATTGATTTTTTAATTAACTTTACTGAGTGGTGCAACCATTATCATAAATGAGTTTTAGAACATTTTTGCTCTCCTGTAATTAGATCCCTCATGTTCGCTGACAGCGCTCTGTTCCATCCTCAGCTCCAGGTAGCCGCTAAGCCACTGTCTTTCTCTGCGGATTTGCATATTTTGGACATTGTGTGTAAATGGAATCATGCACTGTGAGGCTTGTTGTGTCTGGCTTCCTTCACTTAGCAGAACGTTTGTGAGGTTCATCCCGAAATAGCATGTGTCAGTGTTGGTGTTCCTTTTTATTGCTGAATTATGCCATTGTGTGGATAGACCTCATTTTGTCCGTCCATTCGCCAGTTGGTGGACATTTAGGTTGTCCCCAACATTAGGTTATTTTTGGCTATTATGAATAATTGCATCTTGCTTTTTTCCGCTGATAGTATATTTGGGCAGATTTTTTAAATTAGTACTCAAAAATCTGCATTTTTTTTTTTTTACTGCAGTCTTTTAAAAAACAATGTATTTCGTTGTAGGATATACTGTCATTTACTTAACCAGTAATGTTAATGGATGTTTTTGAGTTGATTGTGATTTTTCACTATTATCAACAGTACTACAGTGAATTCTCTCTGTGTGTGTTTTGTGGTACAGATTTCTAAAAGTAGAATTGCTGGATCAAAGGGCATGAACATTTACAGTTTTAGTAAAATATTGAAGACCGGAAGACATCTTCAGTTGTAATTCTGTTTGCTAATAAAGGTCTTTTTGTCAAGTTACTTTTATGTTCATGCATGCATTTTTAGCTAGCCAAGGAAGAGCAAGTTCTGCATGCTTGAGATACCAGAATATGTTAAGAAAAGAATTTTTTTTGGTTGAAAATAAAAAATTTGGGGAGGGGGTTGAAAAATAACAGGAACATATCCACTTCAAGGTTTAGGGTGATAAAATGAATATATGATTCAGAGGTATTTCTTGTTATTTTACCTTTCTTTGAGTTAGAAGTGTTTACTGAAAATGTTGGTGGCTACTATAAAAGTTATAGAACCTGCATGGAGTACTCTTAGTAAAAAAGAAGTCCTGGGTAATCTCAGTGATGGCGGAATTGTAATGAGTTATGGTAGTCGGTTTCAAGAGTGGTCTCGCCCCATTTCCCCAGAATGTTCAGTGTTCGGTGCAGGTGAAGACGCTGAAGCCGAGTGAGTCTAGACCTGAGCTCCAGGGCTCCGTCTCCTACTGTGTTTTTTCCGTATGCACGAAATGTGTGTGTGTTTAATACCCTGCCAGCTCTTATCAAGGCTATATAGTGAGTTTTTGACAAGATGACAATAAAACCTGGGTTCTTTTTTAGACATCTTGACTTTCAAGTCTTTTTAAAAAAATGGTATATGTGTATGTGGATATGTGTGTGTGTAGAGTGAGTGAGTCATTTGAAGTGTTAAATGATTTGCTTGGTTTGTGTCAAAGTTCACGATCAATAAATATTTGTGTTATAGGTTTGTCAAATTGTTAAAGAATATGGTGCCTACAGTCAGACTTATATTTTTTGACCTCAGTAAGTAAATGAATCCCTAGAATAGGATGAAATGACAAATGGATTTGTAATCGTGCGGTGTTTTGTTGAGTCATCAGTGTCGTTTGAGACAGGCTTCTTCTGCATCACATCCTTAAATAGGATGGGCTTTCCTTGTTCTTCCAAGTGAAGACCTGAGGGATGGCGTAGCCAGTACTGTTTCCGAACGTATATTATGTTACTGTCACTATGTTGTATAGTAAACAAAGAAACCTCATTCCCTCCATTGGGAGTTTTAAGTAATATGCTGTTTGGATATCTGAGTTTCCCAAATAAGTCCTTCAAGGACTTCTTAATAAGAACCCAGACTTCTAGATGTAATTTAACCTTTTCTTGATTGCTTAATGTTTGCAGTGCTATAACAGTGAAACAAAGTGCTCAGGACCTTGTTGCCCCAGTCACTATATGGTCTCCAAGTTCTAGTCTCCTTTTAAAAAGGTCTGGCTCCTTTTAAAAAAAGACAGGTTTTTGTTCTTCCCCTTGTAAGCTTGATAAATATTATTTCTTCTGTGAGTCTGCCTGCCTGTTTGGCCCTTTACTGCCCACTCATCTGATTTGTCCTTTAAATATGCAGATGCACGTTGGGAACCCAGGTAGCCTGAGCTGTGAGAATTGTGTGCAGGTGAGAACTAGTAGGTGTCAGGTGAGAGCTGTGGGGCGTGAGGGCTTTGGGCTTTGGGTTTTATGGTTTGACGTTTCAGGTTTGGTTTTGTTTCAGTTCGCTTGTTCGAGGTTCTTGTCTGTAGTGGGAGTGGGTGGACAGTCTAATCGTGTGGTTTCTCTCTTATATTCAGATGGAATGGATCTCTCCGAGGGTTCTGGCCCTTCAGGGCTTTGTTTACTGATATGCACGATGGTGTTACTCTTGCTTGCTGTAGACTAGTGATAACGGTTACCTCAGACAATATTCTTATGTTGGCTGGAATAAATTTGGGTGAAAAACCCATGGAAAGTAACAAATGAAAGTTAGATAATAAATTTTTTCTTTATCTTAAACATGAAAAATTGTAGAAGCCAAATGGAAATGTTTGAATTCATAAGAGACTATGATTTTATGTTATATTCTTCTTGATAAGTGAAAATGGATGTTCAAAATACTAAGGATATTGTTTATATTATCTCATTACAAATAAGACATTTTAATTTAATTATATGTATGGCAGACTAATTAGGTACTTGCTCTGTTTGCTGATGAGTTTTATTAGGGATCACTTCAATATAACTGGAAGTTCCTATGATATGTTTCCTGTTTTTGGTGAACTGTGGAAAAATAAGGTTTCAGATTACATAACTCTTGCTTACGGTATTGCTTTCTATTTCCAACAGATATATTCAGTTCTTCATTATTTTCTGATCACTGAGAAAAACTGCTAATTTTGAAGAGAGCTGTTAGCTTAGTTTGTTAAGAGTCTTACTTCACCTGTGAAATTGATACTTTTAATGTTTCTTTGCTCTGACTTGCTCATTTAGCATTTCTTGGGTTAGACGGCAGGAAAGGTTTTCTAGGATTGGGTAAGGGGTCTGGTTCTGTTCTTTCCCATCAGTTAAGGGCTAGTCAATAGACTGTACTGCTTCTCTGTTAAGATTTTATCTCCTTTCTCTCTCCTCAATTGGTTCAAGTTTACTGAAAGACTTATGTTAGTGATCATAAAGTATTTTGTGGTATTCAATGCTTGTGTAATTAGTAACATGCTGTCCTGACTCAGAAATCAAGATTGAGTTATTTTACAGCACGGACTTGGAGCTCAGTGATCAGGACTCCCTCACTGCCTGTTAGAGGAATTGAGGTGGGATTTGGTGATGTGCCTAACAGGCCCATGTTTATCTTTTCAAATTAGGCTGTATATTATTCCTTAAAATTTCAGACTTGATTTCATTAATGTACCCTTATGAGTGATACAGAGTGTGTACATGTGTGTGTGAATTTGTGAATTTCATTAATGTACCCTTATGAGTGATTACAGAGTGTGTACGTGTGTGTGAATTTGTGAATTTCATTAATGTACCCTTATGAGTGATTACAGAGTGTGTACGTGTGTGTGAATTTGTGAATTTGATTAATGTACCCTTATGAGTGATTACAGTGTGTGTACATGTGTGTGTGAATTTGTGTATATGTATATATAATGAATTGTAAACTTTGTCAAAGCTTATAGTATTCCTTTGATACAGTTCAAAGGCATACAGTGAGCAACAATGGTTATTCTTAAGTCATTTTGATTTTTTTTTGTTAAACTAAAAATATTTTTAAATTTTAGGGGGAAAAAAATAGTGGCTTTGATGTCCTTTACCATAATATGAAACATGGACAGATATCAACAAAAGAACTGGCAGATTTTGTAAGAGAAAGGTATGTGTTTTCTTTTTTTATAAATTGATTTAACAATAAAATGATTGTTTATTAGTTGGATTTGGATTGAAGTAGTCAAGTATACTTTTTGAAAGTATACTAGAGGGGCTGGGCCTGTGGTGTAGTGGTTAAGTCTGGTGCACTCTGCTTTAGTGGCCTGGGTTCGTGGGTTGGGATCCCGGGTATGGACCTACATCACTTGTCAGCCATGCTGTGGTGGCAACCCACATACGAAATAGAGGAAGGTTGGCACAGATATTAGCTCAGGGCTAATCTTCCTCAAGTGAGAAAAAAAAAAAGAGGAAGATTGGCAATAGATGTTAGCTCAGAGTGAATCTTCCTCACCAAAAAAAAAAAAAGTATACTATAAAGTAGTGGTTTTCTGTCATCTGCACACTGAGGGCTAAATAGTGGCTCCAGGTGGTGGTGTTGAACTCCTGGTTTGCAAATCACCACTTCAAAATATTATCTACATATTTTTCATTGGATGTACTAGCAAGGTGATAGAATAGAAAAGTTGACTAATTTTGTAGGATAAAATATTACCATGTCTTTAAACATGTCATTAAGTAAACACAGTAAAATAATTTGGAATGACTAAGTTTTCTGAACTTGGAGTTTAGTAATGTATTATTATAACTTTTATTTTTTATTTTTATTTTTTTTTTTTTTTATTAATGTTATGATAGATTACAACCTTGTGAGATTTCAGTTGTACATTTTTGTTAGTCACGTTGTGGGTACACCACTTCCCCCTCCGTACCCTCCCCCCACCCCCCCTTTTCCCTGGTAACCACCAATCAGATCTCCTTCTCAATATACTAATTTCCACCTATGAGTGGAGTCATATAGAGTTCGTCTTTCTCTGACTGACTTATTTCGCTTAACATAATACCCTCGAGGTCCATCCACATTGTTGTGAATGGGA